ACTTTAATTTGGATTATGCTGACAGGTCTTGGAACTAGGATTTAATTATACCATTCATGGTAAGCCCAGGCATTTTACCACTATTGCTTATTAATATTGGCAGCAGAATGTGTATCGTGGGTTCGGACCTTGGAATATAACAATTTCAGGCTGCTCAGTGCTAAATTGATTATAAAACAATAACAATAACAACAACAAAAAAATATGTAAACAGCCTAAATTAAATGAATAACATTCAATTTGAATTCTTTGAAATGAATTTAATACTACATTATCTGAAAGTCCTATTAAAAGATTTTGCACTCAAAGTTTACATAATAAGAATTCATGAATACATTTGTATTTGTTTATGAATTGCAAAACATTAGGCCCTGTAATGCATTCAGTTTTTTAAAATAAACATAAGTTTGGTTCAGACAATTGGCTTTATCTTGTATTCCAAAAAAGTTTTAAAGATATGTGGAATGAATTTTTTGTTAGATAATATCCTGGTTGATTGCCCTCATTTTAAGTTGGGTAAAACAGTTTTCAGTTCAATTCTTTACTCTATGAAAAGCTATTATATTATGCCTTAATTGGCTCAAAAGTCATCAGTAGTTGGAGGTGGTCACTTTACCCAATGTCAAAACAAACTAGCAGCTTACTCTGTAATGACAGTTTGTACAGTTTGACCAGACACTGTATGTTATGTCTGTACAGTTTGACTTGACTCTTATACTCTATGTCTGTACAGTCTAATCAGACTCTATACTCAGTGTCTGACCAAAATCAATACCTTATGTCTGTACAGTTTGATCAGTCAGTACTTTAGGTTTGTACAGTTGAACAAGACTCTGTACTTTATATCTGTACAGTCTGGATACACACTGTACCCTATTTCTGTAGAATTTGATAAGACTATGTAATTAATGTCTGTACAATTTGACCGCACTCTGTATTTCATGTCTATAAAGTCTTCCCACACTCTGTCCTTTATGTCTGTACTGAGTGAGCCTGACTTAAAATTATGTATGTACAGTTTGACCAGACTTTATAAAATCTATGCATGTACAGCCTTTAAATTATGGCTGTATACAGTTGACAGACTCTGAACTTTGTCTGTACAGTTTGACCAGACTGTGTACTTTATGTCTGTAGTTAGACCAGACTCTGTACTTTATATCTGTATACTTAATGTCTGACCAGATTCTATATCCTTTATGTCTGTACATTCTGATCAGATTGATTTACTCAGTCAGTCTTATCAGACTCAATATCCTCTGTCTATACAGTTTCACCAGACTTATTATATTTAATTAAACAGACAATAATCCAATATGGAACCATTTTGAGCAGTCAATTTACTCAATAAAATAAAAATTCTCATAAAATTAAAAACTTTTTAAAATTTCTGTTTACCGTTAAATTTAAAACCTTACTCAAGACCTTTCTAATAGATGTATAATATTTTATCAATGACTTGAAAAAGGAGACTATTTATTTTTTCATTCATTGCTATGCCATTCATTCAAGCAATAGATACCCCTTACTGAAAATGGGCCGTTTTATTTACAATTTATCTTATTTGTTAAAAACGTCAAAAAATCAGAAACGACAAAAAATATACGACAATGATATCAATAGTGTTTAGTATCAAGTGTCCGTCCGACTATTTTAACAATACGTTTAAGTACATACGAGTTACAAAAACAAGTTATTTTTCCTTTGTCAAGTGTACTTTATTCGATATTAATACAGGTTAGGCATTAACAATATAGGCCATTATAACCGCTGTAAAATTCTTCAGCTACAAATGACTTCACAATGAATGCACCACGGATCGCACACCAAAACGTTTAGTGCATTCAGAGTGACTCATTAAAAAATACAAAAAAAAAATATATCAAGATTTACCCCCCAAATATTTTAATACGTAAGAATAATTATTGCGAGAATAATTATAAAGGTATAAATGGGAAAAAAACAACATTGAAATAAGAGCAAACAAGGATATAGTGCATTAAGCCATTACTCTGAATGCAGAATTTAATATGCTATGAAATCCCTAAAATCTTGCAAGTATGATAAAAGTATGCTCTAGTTTACAGATTTATTATTATGATACCTGTAAACATTCCTTCTTAGGCAGGATATATGCTTGCAAGATGGATTTTTAAATAAATATATACTGATAGAAGCCATGTCCTCCCCAACCCCTCCCTCCCCCTAAACAAACCCCAAGGCCCCCACAGGTATAGGTATAAGTTCAGATAAAGCTGCAGTGAGACACAAATAATCTGACATTAACTTATTTCTTTTAAATAAACATCACAGTATATCCAAGTCAAAAAAGTGTAATAAAATTCAAGGGTGTCAGAATTGTGTGACAGTTGTACCATATTACAAGGCAAAAAACATAACACTTTAACAACCATCCCTTATAACAGTCACATTTTTTTGTATTTAAATTGTTGTTGTTGTATTTTTGTAAACTTAACGAGTGTAAACAATGATCAGGGGTGTAACTTAGTTTACATTCATTATTTGTATATAATTGTGAATAATTGTAGTGGGGGAGTGAGGCATATGATGGTACACTAATGCATGTCCTCATATCTAAGCTAGCTAAATAGCTTCCTCACATAAAGCTTCAAAGTTCTTGGCTGGATTCAAACCCAAGGCTGTCAGATGAAAAATTAATGTTTCAAAATTTGTGACCTGAAGTCTGTTTAACAGAATTATATTTCATGTATAAACTGCCACAGTCATTAACCAACACTATATTTTCATCAGTGATGCTATCATATCATGTACATGTACTACTGTATATCTTCTTCAGTGATATATTTGATATCTTCATCAGTGATGACATTGTACACTGTATATCTGAATCAGTGATGATAATATATATTCAATATCTTCATCAGTAATACAAAATGTATTCAATATCTTCATCAGTGACAATATCATATACTTTATATCTTCATCAGTGATGATATCATATACTGTTTATCTTCATCAGTGAGGATATCATATACTGTATATCTTCATCAGTGAGGATGCAATATATTCTATATCTTTATCAGTGATAAAGTCAATATCTTCTTTAGTGAAGATATCATATACTGTATATCTTCATTAGTGAGGATGTTGTATACATGTATATTCTATTTACCAGTAATGATATCATACATTCTATAATAATCTATATCTTCATTGGAGATTTAATTGAGCCGTGTCACGACAAAACCAACATAATGGGTTTGCGACCAGCATCCGCGCAGTCAGATCAGGATCCATGCTGTTCGCTATCCATTTCTTTACTTGTAATAGAGTTGGTAAGCGAACAGCATGGATCCTGATCAGACTGCGCGGATGTGCAGGCTGGTCTGGATCCATGCTGGTCGCAAACCCATTATGTTGGTTTTGTCATGACACGGCTCATATATATTCTTTATCTTCATTCATGATAATATACATATATATTCTAACATTCTACAAGATCTAAAACAGATCATTCATTCTGAAGATCAGGAAAAATGATAACATCAGTCTCACATACCATTGGAAAAATATATTTATCTGATAAAATAAACATGCTATGATTTTAAAACAGTTGAAAAGCACCCGAAAAACTTGAAATTACTGTATAACCTCTACTAAGCAACACCCTTTGGGAGACAAAGATTTTGGTTGTTATTGAAAGGTGTTGTTATAGAGAGGTTAAGTTTATTATAGTTGTGAAAAAGTTATTCATAAATGTAATACAGAAGGCTTTATATCCCACTGAAATGAGCAAAATTTCCTTATGTTAAAATTTTTGTAGAAAATTCACTTCTGATATCATGAATAAGTGAATCTTGGCATCTGTAATACAAAATAAATCTTACATTTTCTTTTACACTTTTTTTTAATGAATTCAACATTTATATAAGATTTTTTTACATTCTGCACATGTGCTATACACCAGACATTCCGACCCCAGGTTTTAATGTGTTAACAACTTTTATTGGCACACTAAATCTGGATTTTCATTTCCCTTGCATTTTTGAACCTATATTACCCCAGATACCAAGTTCATGACATCAGAATTAACTAGAAGAAATCTTTTAAATTATGAAGTTTTCTGATCTGCAAAAAAATTCAAAGAAACAGACAAAAGACCCCTGCAGCTTCCAGCAAAGTTCAGACTCATGTTTTTATCATTTCTTCACACAAAAATTATCATGTAATCACCATCATATATAAAGAATCTGGCAACGTTTAAAATGAAAATAATTATCCTCGTGCTTGATAGACAGTGTAAATTTTTTTTAATAAGAAAAAATCAGATCTATTCTGTTATCATCGATGATAAATTTAGCTATTAAACATCTAAAGCTTCATTATATATAAATACTTGACTATCCCACATATTACATGTAATTAAATTACATCACAAAGAACTGCTAAATTCAGATTTCATTATAACAATTGTACAAAAAGAATTTGCTTTTATGTTTGTTTAGGTTTGGTTTTAAACAACACCGACATACAATTATAATTACATGTATGATGATTTTTTCTATTATGCTTAACTGGTGGAGGAAGACGTCAGGTGCTCCTCAAAGCATTATTTCAGACGAGAGCAGGCACCTGAGTAGAACCATGGCTGTTCTAAACTTCCTCACATAGAATCTAAAAACCCTAGGGGGGATTCAAACCCACATTGGTGATGGGCAAGTGGTAACCTTATATCATCACATGGACATTATATAAGAATTTGCTGTTTAATTTCATAAAGTTGAAACAATTTTGTGTTGAACCCTTCTATTATTCATAAAATTAAATGTATCTGGTTTTAAACCTGAATTGATGTAAAATGGACTTGCCTTGCTTTGAATATGGACAAATTCATACACTGTTTAAAGCATTCTCATATTAAAAGTACTAATACTTAGGTCTGACCGCACTGACCGTACTGATGCTATCCTGGCTCTACAAATGTGACACCTAAATAGACATAGATGCTTTATACATACCCTGGTATTTTTTCACATATAAGACCACATGGATGGTTGAATCCTCGTACAAATTTCTTTTCCTCGGGACATTTCTCATAAGTTACACTGACACCTGTAACAATTAAGATATATATGATATCAATATCATCATCAGCATTGTGGGAATCCAAGGTTATTAATTCTACTGATTTCTATAAAGTGTATACTTAACAAGAATGCCTGAGTTAATTCAATCGAATCATCAGACACATTATACATATAAGCCGCGTCATGACAAAACCAACATAATGGGTTTGCGACCAGAATGGATCCAGACCAGCCTGCCCATCCGCACAGTCTGATCAGGATCCATGCTGTTCGCTTACGAACTCTATAAAAATAGAGAAACTGATAGCGAACAGCATGGATCCTGATCAGACTGCGCGGATGTGCAGGCTGGTCTGGATCCATGCTGGTCGCAAACCCATTATGTTGGTTTTGTCATGACACGGCTCATATTAAGTTGTAAGTGGCAATGGTGTCCCATAAATGAACACTATGAGTACATGTCGCCAGTAATTCACACAAATAAAGACTTTGATTAAATGTGACAAAGTCTGGTAAAAATAAAGTGGCAATTACTTGGTACAAAATAAAAGGCCTTTATTAAATGTGAGGAGCATTTCTACCCAGTGTCAAATAATTGACACAGTCAGTTCTGCACTGGAATATATTTGACATTGCTTGTTTCTCAGACATTTGCTGAATGTCAATTTTGACAGCGCTGAATAATTATGTTTGTGCTTAAATTTATCACAATCAAAATCAAAGGATATTATGGATATACAAAAGCTGTGTTTTAGAGCTGTCAGAATGTACCAGATTTAATCAACTTTAAACTTCTGACATAGAAGTTAATGTTCCTTATAAAACTTAATAGGTCTAGATATTGTTCCTTTGACAAAGGTAATAAGCAACAAATCAAAAAAGAAAATCAAAGTTAACAGAATCGATAATCAAGTCTGAGATAGGGATTAAGCTCAATACAGAATATTCTCTTATAAACGCCCTAACACAAATTTTACCACAGCTGAAAATTCCAGTATATATAATCCAGTAAAAAAAACCCACAGAAACAGTAAATATTGTTCTATTTTGACAATATCTAACTTTTTTTTACTTTAATTGATGCTCGCTCCCCATTTGAAAAATGAAACATTTAATTGTGACCAATGATCGGGGGCATTTATTACATAATATATGGTATATACTATTTACTGGAATAAAGTAAATATCCTGCAAGTACTTTGAAGATTTCCTGTTACTGTCAAAAACAGTCAATCGACTGCCGACTTTTTCAGTCACTTCATCCAACCAATCTTCATCTTCAGTGAGCTATCAATTAAACATAAGAAAAACAAACAACTCTTCACATTTATATTTGAATGAAAACTCCTAATTTTCCTTACCATTTGTGGATATATAAGAATCTGTTTCTTTTGTAAGAATAATATCAACGAAATCTCGTGGTGATATAAGACCCATACAAGCGCTGGCTGTGCAAGCCCGGTTCACACGGAGTTCCGGCTGCAAAAAACAAAAGATGAAATTTACATGATTATATTAATGTTTGTTTGTTGGTTTTAAAATTGCATCAGCAATGTAACAGGATTTATATGGGGATTTTACAGCTTTACAGATTTTTGTTTGTTTGTTTGATTTGGGTTTAACGTCACACCGACACAGCATAGGTCATTTGGCGACGTTCCAGCTTTACTGGTGGAGGAAGACCTCAGGTGCCCCTCCGTGCATTTTTTTCAGGCACGAAAGGGCACCTGAGTAGAACCACCAACGTTCCATAAGCTAGCTAGCTTCCTCACATGAAAGAATCCAAAGTCCCTGTCGAGATTCGAACCCACAGCGGTGAGGGGCAAGTGGTTTGAAGTCAACGACCTTAACCACTCAGAGGAAGACCTCAAATTGTTTCAGACACAAGTGGTCACCTGAGTAAAACCACCTGAGAAGAACCACCAACCTCATGTGAGCTTATTAGCTAGATTAAGCTTTCTTACATGATACATGTAGAATCCAATGTCTGTTATGGACACAGAGGCACCTATAATAAACAGTTCTTCATTTTTTTTTTATTCTTAAATAATTTGAAAGGGCAAAAGGATTAAAGACATTAGCCTTGGCTGGTCATGAAGTCTGAAACTGGGTCTAAACCTTTTTATATTTGTCATCAAATTCATAAAAAGTCAGTGCCATTTGTAGAGACATACAAATATTTCACTTGCAAATAACAAAAGTGGGCAAAAAACAGGAAAGAAATATTAAATTTTGAAAGAAAAAAAAAAAACAGGAAGAATTATTTAGGCAGTATGTTGTAATTATATCAGACAATAATTGCAGACATAAACATGTACAATATTAAAACTGCTATAACAAAAATTAGTTTTATAGCATAAAAAAAAAATTTCATTGTGTTCTAATTTTTGGAAAAAGCCATAGATATTCTTTAATTTCATTTCTCTTCTTAAAATCTAGTTTCAAAGATTCCTTAAATTCCAAAATAATTCCCATTAAGTTGCCATGGTAACGGAAAATATTTCAGACAAGACCTTTTATTTCTAGGAATCATGGATCATTTCTTAAAAGCTGTATATTATTTCTAAGATTTCTCTTATACAGAATCTTTGCGTGGGATTTTGGTGTCATATAAAATGTCTGAGACATTTTGTACTTTGCAATTTTATCTAGAAGTCTCTAATCATTTTGTAAGCAATGTTATCTGCGAGTCTCTAATTTAGACAGAACAAACATATATTGATTTCACAACATCCTTAAATGTATCAAAACATCTGCTATGAGTCTGGTAAATCAAAGCCACCTTCTAGACAGAAAATAACCGTAGATATTTATTATATGCCATTATGTCAATAATGCTTTTCAGCCATTACACTCCTTTATTCTTGTTGACATATAAATATCAAAAACCAGAATCTGCTGAATTTAAATAATAGACCACACCCCGACTTTCATTTTGGAGCAGCCCATTCTAAATCGTACAAATTCACAAGGGATGTGTGGAAATGTAGGCTAGCCCTTCTTTAGTTTGTCACCTTAGTGAGTTAACGGGTTTACTGACCTTATATAATTTAATGGAAGTAAACCTGTTACTGTACTAAAGTGATGACTGAGCCGACCACTGCAAAACCGAGGGGAAGACAGCAGAAAACCGGGATGTGGCATCAAATGAGTTTTCAAATAAATTAATAAACCAAAACATTTTAAGCAGATGATAGAAAAACCCTGAGAATGTTTATTTTTTGTTTTCTGCATAGTAAAGTTACAGCAGTTGAAGTTATTTAACAGTCAAAACATAATTGTCTATACACCTTTAAGTGTCGAACAGGAAACTAGTGTTTTCATTTTTTGTCAAACACTTTGTTTGGTAATAAAACTTTAATGATGCTGAATTTATGACCAATTATTTCAAACTTTGAAAGAGTGAATGGCGTTTTGTGGCTGTTTAATTGATTCAAATCTGAATTAAAAACCAAAAGAACAACATTTATATGAATAATTTTTGTTTTTTTTATAAACTGTCATGTTGCCCTAACACTGTTTTCCTTCTGTTCACACAAAGTATAACGAGAGCTGATTATTTTTTAACTTAAAAATATGCAAATCACCTTGTCTGACAACTAAAGGTACATCAAGTAAGGGCTATTTTTGCTAAATTTGACATCTTATTTATCTTTTTGGTATTATTAACGTGGACTGCATGTGCTGTTTGCAATGTGTAAATTATTTTCTTTGTTCTCTTTACAATATTTTAATTTCAAGAACATTTTTAAAATTTTCATGAAAATTACCACGTATTTAGAGGCCTGCTGCTTTAACCTGATACATGCTTCCAATTTTTGAACTGATGCAGTAATAAATAAATATATTATAATTTAATTATAAACATGAAAATTTGAAATTTGCCAGCAAACAGTAGGCAAAACAAAAGTCCAACTTCATGGATGTGCAGGCTGGCCTGGCTCTATACTGATGCCAATAATATAAGCTACATAATAGCTTAAACTCCCAGCAGTCCCGGCAGTATAATGTTAAAGTAAATTTACCTCTTCCAACCAATCTATGACTTCAATTTTTTTCATGTCCGAATCCCATTTTCCTCTTGGTCCATCAGGTAAGGGATCAACAAAGTGGAACACAGTTGCTGGTGGGGCATCTATCATACATTCACCTTTGTACCTGAAATATGCAAGAAATCATTAATTGTCTATGCTTCTTTGAAATTGCTAACATATACATAAATGTTCTAACAAAATTTAACTTTTTATAATTATGTAATCTGATTAAAGTTTATTCCCCCCCCTGCGAAAGCATGTTCATCAATTCATGAATTTTCATGAACAGTTCATGAATATTCATGAACATCTTTCAATTGTTCATCATCTTGGCAGAAATGTTCATGAACAAATATTCATGAACATTCAAGTTCATGAATATGTATGTCTGTTCATGATCATGTTGATGTGTTCATGAACATTTTGGCATCATTCTTGCTCTGTTCATGAACATTTTGGTATGTTCATGAACAAGCTGACAATAATCATGAACTTTAAAAACAAATTTGTCTTTACAATTTTAACCCATGTGAATACTTTTTAGTGTTAGAAAAAATTTCAGTTCATGAACTCATGAACTGAAAAATTTCAGTTCATGAACTCTCGTGAGTTCATGAACTCACTGATCATCAACAAGAGTTGGCTGACCTTGGTAACACCCATAATGCAAAGTCAACATGGCCGCCAGAAACAAAGCTCTACATGTGTTTTAACAAACTTTAGGTGCAAACTTACTTAAAAATGGAATAAATAACAATGACTTAGCAAAATGAAGAAAAAGTGATGTATTTACATAATGGACTATATAAAATCTTATGGAAAATTGTGTCAAAGAATTAAATTGAAGAGCAAACTGGCAAGTCATGAATTCTAATGACAATTCAATTTGTACATAGGGAATCAATGAGCACAGTGTTTAACAAGTTTCATTACCTGTGTAATGGGCTTTTGTGTTTTGTATTTGTACTAAAACACTGTCTATTGTGCATTTTATGGCTGGTACAAATCAGCAGTCTTAGAATTAAATGAAAATTGATTGTGATGTCACATTATTATGACCCCTGGGAGAAGTTTTTGAATTGTTCGTGAACATATTCATGAACAATTTCATGAATGTGCAATTGAACAAGTTCATGAATGTGCATGAACAACAAATGAGACTTTTTTTCTTTCATGGACAATTCATGAATCGATATATTCATGAATGTTAACGAACATATATTCATGAACATGTTCATGAATATCTTGATTCATGAATTGTCCGTGAACTAAAAAAAGTCTCATTTGTTGTTCATGCACATTCATGAACTTGTCCATGAATATGTTCATGAACAGTTCATGAATTATTCATGGAATTCTCGCAGGGGCCTGACATTGAAATCAATTCCTTGATGCTTAAATCAATTTCCTGACACTTAATTTATCTCCCTTAACACTTAAGTTGTTTCCCAAAATACTTAACTTAATCCCCCTATTACTTTAATTGATTCCCCTGATACCTAAGTTAATCCCTGGACTGTGACTTACATTCATTACCTTGACAATAAGGTTAATTCCCCTAACTTTTTTGTTTGTTTGTTTGTTTCATTTTACGCCTTTTCCCAACAGTATTTCAGTCATATAGGCGGGTAGTTTCCTAACCATCGTTCCTGGAGAGTTACACCAGTACTAAACTACCTCCCTCCATGCTAAACTACCAAAGCATCTCCCGGGGATCGAACCCACGCCAGAGAGGTAATTGAATTAGAAGTCATCGACTCTATAAACCCCTCGACCACAGAGGCCGTAATTCCCCTAACATTTAAGTTAATTCCCCTATTACATAAGTTAATTCCCTTATTACTTAAGTAAATTCCCCTTTCACCTGATAATTAATTCCCCTGACATTTAAATTCATTACCTTGATTGATACGTAAGTTAATTCCCCTGAAAAATTAACTCCCCTTACACTTACAATAACACTTAAATTAATTCCCCTGACAAATTTAGGTTTATATAATTGCACCGACACTTAAGTTAATTCCCTTGACACTTAATGAGTAAATTGCACTGACACTTAAAGTATTTTTTTTAATATTTAAGACTATGATTATATCATATGGTGAATTATTGTTATTTGTTATAGCTTTTTTAACACTTCTTTACATAAATAATTTTGCATTTGATCTTAAATGTGCTAGATGAAATATTTTGCGTTCAATCTCCCCATGATACATCATTTAAATCAGTATTCAAACATGACCTGAACCCTAAAATGAATCTCAGGAATTTCAAAGATTTGCTATATGCCAAAAGTTCATCATTTCTAAAACTTGCTGACAAAAAGTTTTGTACTTTATATATTTTAATAATAAATCAATGTTTGACACTTATGTGATTATGTTCAATAATTATACAAATATTCATTAACATATATTGTTGCCCTGTAATTGATTACTAATATTTACTTTCTATTTTGAACTTTACCAATCTGTTGTATCAAATATTTAAAGTGGTTCCATTCCAGATGACTGAAATAAATCTTAAGAAAAATAATCAAACTTAAGAAATATTTTGATTTTAAGAAAAGTATAATAATTTTGAATATTAAAGACAACTCCAGTAGAATTTTTTTTTAATTATCATACTTTTTTTAAAGTATAAGCATTTTCAAGTGGGATAAAACGTTGAAGGTTAATTCCTTTAACATTTAATTTAATTCCCCTAGTACTTAAATTAATTCCCCTATTACTTAAATTAATTCCCCTATTACTTAAGTTAATTCCCCTATTACTTAAGTTAATTCCCCTATTACATAAATTAATTCCCCTATTACTGTAGTTAATTCCCCTATTACTTAAATTAATCCCTCTATTTAACTTAAATTAATTCTCCTATTACTGAAGTTAATTCCCCTATTACTTAAATTCATTCCCCTATTACTTAAATTCATTCCCCTATTACTTAACTTAATTCCCCTATTACTAAAGTTAATTCCCCTTTCAAGATAAAGTTGTAAATATTGGTTAAAGCAGCATGCCACCAAATTTTGTAACTTTAATTTTTATGCAAATGTATAATTATTATTGATAAAAATCAATCAATTAGCTAGGAAAGCCGTTTATGTGGATCAACTGTCAATATATGACCAAAAAATCTGTTAAAATGGGGGTAAAAACCAGAAAAAAACAAAACCAAATTCAAATGATTACTTTTGCATATTTTATGTAATTTATGTGCATTTTAAAATACCTTATGCCAGATTAGATTACTATCATTCATAAACTATTGATAACATTTTTCAAAAAAAAAAAAAAAATCCCAAAAATCTGAAGCTTAGTCACTTTAAGTAAAGACTAAACAGTAGTAAAAACGATGATCTATTTATGATACAGGTTACTCGGTTTAAATATTTATGTTATTACACCGCAAATAAACAAACATAAATACAAACAAAAAATATAAACAAAGGAGATCTATACACTTTGATAACAGCTTAATAAGGAAATCAAAATTTATCAAATAAAAGTTATAGGCCAATATACTGTACACAAGCTCTTTTTTTAGCAACAGCTTTACATTTAAATGATGAAAATTTATTCTTAATTACTGATTAGCTGGACAGAAGTCCTAAATTGACTTTATTTTTAAAATATAAACAAAATTGACAATGCATAAAAGTTTTGATGCATTGAAACAGGGTCTTTCAAATAGAATTATTTGAAGGACCCTGATTGAAAATATGGATGATGACAGTTTTTAATAAGAAATTAATACAACACTCAGATATGTATGAAAATTTGATAAATCACATCATCAGGGAGAACACTGAACAAAAAGAAAAGAACTTTTAGAAAAATACAAACTGTTCATATACTAAAGACAGGACAATTAACTAATTTCAGTGCTTGACAGTAACAAAAGGGGCATAACTCTGGAAAAAAGGCAACTCAGAGTTATACCCTGCTTAAACTGATGTGGCATACAGAAGGTCACAAATCCATTCAATTTCCCCTACCATCCCCCCCTCCCACTCCAGAATCTACTTCACTGGACTTTCTGGGATATCATTTTTTTCTCTCATATTTTTACAGATAAAAGGCGTTTTTTAACTACATGTATAATTGAGCCGCGTCATGACAAAACCAACATAGTGTGTTTTGTGACCAGCATAATGATCCAGACCAGCCTGCGCATCCGCTCAGTTTGATCAGGATCCATGCTGTTCTCTATCAGTTTCTCTACATGTAATAGGGTTGGTAGGCAAACAGCAGGGATCCTGATCAGACTGCGCGGATGCGCAGGCTGGTCTGGATCCATGCTGGTCGCAAACACACTATGTTGGTTAGGTCATGACACGGCCTATATTGATATAAAAGTAAGATTAGACCAGCAGGTATTATAAAGCTTGTTTTCCGACACAACAAGGTGATTAATGGAGGTCTTAACCTGTTTAATATGCCCTAAGCTAATCAGATTCATAATTTATGGTGAACATCATGCAGCCTGCAGTATAAATACTACAAACTGAACAACATTTAACATTACACTGCACATAAATTACAAAATGATATTATCTCGCAAACTATTATTTATATGGTTACTTTTGCATAGTGACAATAAATTACTAGATAGTAATTTATAATTCACTGAGACTGTAAATTTCATAGTCAGTCTGAGAAGTCATGCTGACAAATGCCAGTATTTTAAGATTTTATTAAAGTACTGTAACACACGATTCACATATAAATGAACACTTGGTTAAAGTATTTTGACACTGACACAATTTAAGTATTTTGACACTAATAATACCAGTATTTTGACACTAGGTTTAAGTATTGAGATACTCTGTTCAATTATTTTGACACTTTTTTTCTTTTATTATGACACCCAGTTATAGTATTTTGATACTCTTTTCCAATATTTTGACACTCAGTTCAATTAAGGTATTAGCACCCTAATGCATTACCTCCGCTTTGAAGAGTATTCAAATAGGCTAGAACTACTGTTAACTACATTGAAAATGAGGGCCATGGGTTCAATCCCCAGAAGGGTCAACTTTTTTTCCCCTTTTTTTCTTTTAACAAATTATTTATGTATCTCTCGTGTCCCATTTGGAAAGAAAAAAAGTGTTTAATTTTGATT